ATGAAGGTAAGCACAAACGGAGAGAGTATGTAGAGCAGTTAGGTATGATACGACATGATCAGAACATTATAACACTGAGAGGGGCCCAGGAGAGCAGGGCACACCTCCTGCACTATATCATGTACGTATTAAAAGAGTCAAAGATACCTCTAAGGTGTTGCGCCTTAGAGACTACAAGCATATGGCAAGCTAAAAGTTTCAAGGCAGCCTGGAAGCCCTTTACCATCAGTCCTCTCCCCTACATAGAGATTCCCTCTGTCCCCACCTACCTCCTCGCCCTCCAGCCCCATACAAGGGGATTCATCTGCTCATCATGACAAGCATTCTAGTTCCCACACTTGTACTTAAGCTTTCACGATGCCCATCCCTTGTATCAGGGCACCTACATCTTGAGTTCTTAAAACTACTTCCTAAACTTTATTTCCTTCAAAGATGCCTTTTAACACTGGTTCCATTTTACCTGTCTGTCAGCTCTTCTCATTTATATGTTCTAGAGACATTTACTCTCAAGCACGGAACAATATATAAATAAGGATGATCAGCGAAGTCCCCAGTGTCTTGATTCACCTTCTGACCTACAGTTCCCAGAGGAAAGCACCAAGTCAGGCCACTTCTTTGGTTTACTCCCACTACTCATGTCATGTGTTGCACATGATAGGTACTTCCTCAGAGCTCTCCATAGTACTACCTTGTTTTAAGAGGAGGATAAAGTTTAATAAAAAGAATAAGCTTCCCTTTTAAACTTGTTTTTCCTAAGTAAATCTCCCAAGGGAAGCCTCAAGGCCCTCATCCTTCGTCTCCACAAGCATCTTCAAAGGCGCTATGTAAACGCCTGCTGTATACTGTGTGCCCACAGAAACAAAAGAGTTCATTCTATCCTTTTGAAATCAGGACTGCCACGCTCCTCTTCTTCTTCTAAATGCTTCATTTTAAAGAAAAGCCATGGTTCATTGCCACTAAAAATTAAAGACAGCAACATAAAGAGTAAGGTCCATGCTGGGGCAAGCGATGACAGAACATTAAAATCACGACTCAGATTTCTCTTTCCTTGAACACTTCTAAAGACAACTAAGGGAAAGCCAATCCCCAGAATGTGTGCTCATTTTTGACTTTTTTCACTTGCACCTGTTGGTGCACACATTATTTTAACTAAAATGAACAAATCGGAGGTGGACTCAGTTGACTCCAAATGGGAGTGTTAAGATAGATCCAAAAAAAAGATAATATGTGATCACCACCCACCTCTTCCATCACAACATGACGTACCAAGAAGAAACAAGGCCGTTTATTATGCAAAGGTTAAGTTTTCAAAAAGAAGGACTTAATGACCTTTTCCTCCTCCAGGCTATACAGTCTGGCCTCTCCAGCTACACCAAGCTTGCTCGTCCACCTCCTTTGAGTTCCGGATGGTGTTTTTTTGTTTGTTTGTTTGTTTTTAAGGCAAAAAGCTATTTATTTATTTATTTATTTATTTATTTATTAGTTTCAGGTGTACGGAACAATGAGATCGTTATCCTTTTCACCCCTCAAAAGAAACAACCCCCCTCCCCCATCTCCTGCCCTCCCACCCCCAATAGCATACTTATCTATTAGAATTCCATTGACTCCATTCCCACACTCCACTTCAGAGTTCCAGATGGTGTTTTGACAATCAGATTCACACTTGATGTACCCCTGAGTCCCTTTCCCATGTGCTGAATCCACATTTTCAGGATTTTTATCCTTTTTCACCCCAGTCCCCAATCACATGTTGGATTGATAGCTTGGGGTAGTTTTCTCGACGCCCAACTACTATGGTGGTTCAGCCAGGCAGGCTCAAGCTCCTGCTCCATACAAACATGGAAAATGGGAAGTGTGGTCTCAAAGCCTGTAAAGCATCCCTCATCAGCGTCCACCACTGAAGGAAGAACAACTGCCAACAGAAACCTGCAGTTGATCTAAAAGAAGAGATTGATCAAGTACACAACAGTCACGTTAATTATAACCTGGTGACTCAGATGTCCTCACAGGACATGCAGAGAAATGTGAAAGATCAAACATGAGGAAATAGAGAACTATTTAGGTGAGTTCTTTTCTTTTTTCTTTTTTACTTTTTTGTGTATTGGACCCTAAGAAGCATGAAATTAAAACTTGTGAAAAACAGCCATATCAGCTTGCTGTGGTGACTCAAAAGTTGTCGTTTCTCCACTCAACTTTGCTGAAACACTTGATTCACGTTGTTCTTATTTAACCTAATTTGCATTGATTTAATCAATGCTGGTATGCTTTAAATACATAATAAATTGGGATTCTGCAACTTAGATGACTTAGAATAGCTAAGTTTCAATAAAGCTCATTTCAATCTGTTAATGTATACAGTTCTGCCAGGGGGTTTAAAACTGTAGAAAAGATGCAAACTTGCCACATTAGAGGTGAGAAAGGCTTAAAGATGCCCTTCAAGTGAAATAATTTGCAGGACAATAATCTGAAAAGCAGTATGTATATAAATTAGACACCTCCTCTACATGTCGGGTAGCATACTTAGAAGACGACTTACATAGGAGTGCAGTGATTTTAATTTTATTCTGTTTCTTTCTTGCTAACACTCAACTCTTCCTTGCCTCTCTGTACCAGCTCTACAAATCAAGTGACATCCAAGTGGGACCTGTTCATGCCCATTTGGCAGGCTCTATCACCACTCTGCCAAGCTGCCGGCTTTGGGAGGATTTTCTAGCTAGCAGCCATGGGGACTGGGTGACCTGCACTCACAGCATTTGCTGAATGGTTGGCCCCTGTTTACCCGTGCCTGCCCCCTTTTAGAGTTTATGGCTCAATCAGCCCGCCTGCTGTCAGGAATAATTGTCTTGGCAAGAGGTGAACACACTTGATGGTGGAGTTGTTTGTCAGTTAAAGTGTTCTGCAGCAACTTGGAGGTGCCAGGACAGAACCTACAGGGGGCCCAGTCTGGAGTTAGGTAGGAGGCAAGAGTGATGGTGAGGTACCCATTAAGAATGGCTAAGAAAGAAGACCACTTTGGTGTGGGACAGCCCCCCCCCCTCCAAAAAAAAAATCTGTGCCCGTGACAAGCTGTGAGACCTTAGATAATCACATGATGTCTCCGTGCCTCTGTTTTGTCACGTGTAAAATTGTTTGATCTTCTACTGTCTCTTCTAGCTCCTCAGACATGTGATGTCTGGGATATTTCAGGTTTGCTTCCTTCCAATGAAATGATGCATCTCAGAGATGAATGACCAGGGCAAAGTTCAAATAAATACAGAATGGAATGATTCACACACCTGTTCACAGGACTTTTCCTGAAAAGTACCACCAGTCTTTGGTGGCTGTCATTCCACTGCTTAATATCTTCAGCTTGGATGCAAGGGATCAAGCCAGTTGCTTGCACGAAGTTGACGCAACCTGGGAGCTTTGGTAATTACCCTCATTCTTACCAAAGTGAGCATCACTATAGATAATGCCCACATTTTTTCAGTTCCTGAGACAAATTGCTGGGGATTCAGAGACAAGCTGGAGAGTCACTTTTGATGAGTGACGTTAGATTCTCCCTATCACCTCCTTGGGCCTCACTGCTAAGAAGGTAGGCTTGCCCACACTCACTTCCAGCAGGGCTTTTCAGCCATCTTTGATGATTTTTTTTAACAGATGACCAACAGGTCCCTGACAATAGCAATGCAGACCCTCTTTAGGCCAGTTGGGGGGGGGGAGAGAGAGAGAGAGAGAGAGAGAGAGAGAGAGAGAGAGAGAGAGAGAGAGAGAGTCGTTTTAAGGACCTATTAATATTGTGAATGAAAATAATCAGGCAAAGATTTCTTTTCATACTTACAAGACACAATTTAGTAACAGTCTCAAAGTTTAGTTAGGGGCGTGTGTATGGAGAGAGTTAGACATCATTATGGTTTAAACAACCCCTTCTCTGCTCATTCTCTAGCACATTCTCCTGGAATGGGGTATATATAGCACAGGGCACTGTAATCACCAACGGGAGCATGTCAGGATCAGCCCGCTGCCTCAGCGCCATACAGCATAATCCTTCCTTAATCCACCACAGAACCCAGAGACATCCATGGAGACTGGGGAAGCCCCATCGGAATCTCAGGCAAGACTCCTTGTACACAGACATACGTTTCTGTTTCTGCCACACTGGGTCTCACGCCACTGGGACCGGGATGGCTTCCCATCCGCCTGGTTTGGGAAGCATCCCCCCATCCACCACCCTAAAAGGACTGGCTGGCTGCAGAACTCCAGCACCCACCAGGAAAAAAAAATCTTAGCGAAGCCCCCGCAATCATTGCCCCCCTCTATCATCTCTCAAGTTGCTTTTCCGACGCAAAGGACCAAACGCTGATTTCTCTACAGATCCCTACGTACCCCTTACACGTAGACCGCTTTCAAGGGGGAGGAGGGACATCCCCAAAAGAGATGGGGGAGAGAAGAGAATAGTTCAATTTCCCACTTGGAAACAGCTTGCTGTCGATGATGATACCCCACACCTTCGTCCCCTCTCCCCTTTTTCTAAAATATGGACAGACACGCTGCAAGTGTTTTCCATTTCATCAAAGAACATATATTACTTTAGCGGTTCGGTAAAATGTTGGTTTTATGCCCACCCCTTTTCAATCTGCCCATGTCTGAGGTGCTCCGGGAAGACGCACAATCGCGAGCAGCTTACGACACTCAGTGAGCAGTAGGTGCCTGTGCAAGCTCGCGCCGCACACCGCCTGGCGAAGGCATAGGAGCCCGGGCGCCGCTCCCCGCTCCCCGCACCGCCGCCCGCGCCTCCCCGCCGCCCTCCGCCCGCAAAGCATGAGCGAGCCCGCTCTCCGCAGCCGCCCCGGGCGCGAATGGCAGGTGGTCTCCGCGGACTCAAAGGTGGCGCCGGTCAGCGGTCCTTTCCAATGACGGACATTAACCAGACTGTGAAATCCTGGGGAGTCGCGAGCCCCGAGTTTGGAGTTTTTTTCCCCCACCACCACGTCACAGTCCGAACTGCAGAGGGAAAGGACCTTGGCAGGAAGGCGAAGCCCGGGCTCCGGCACGTAGTTGGGAAACTTGCGGGTCCTAGAAGTCGCCTCCCCGCTTCGCCAGCCGCCCTTGCAGCCCCAAGCCGAGAAGCAAAGTGAGACATTGTGCGCCTGCCAGATCCGCTGGCCGCGGACCGGGGCTGCCTCGGAAACACAGAGGGGTCTTCTCTCGCCCTGCATATAATTAGCCTGCACACAAAGGGAGCAGCTGAATGGAGGTTGTCACTCTCTGGAAAAGGGTGGGTAAGACACTTTTTAATTAAATTCTTTCCCGAAGATTTTTTTTTTCTTCCCTTTTCTTTGCTGCAGCATCTAACATGGACCAAATCACCATCTCTTTGATCTTTCCGTGGCTGTGAACTTTCTATGCTGCCCAGCTTTCTGCATGCTTAGAGGTGAACGTGTGGCTTTTGGGGAGGGGGGCTCCTTCTTGATGTCAATGTATTTATTTGATTTTTGCCCTTTTCTCCCCCTCCCCCGCTCCCTCTCCCTCGGAATAAAATATGATGTAGATTTCTGACCGAGCGCTTCCAATGGACATTCTCCAGCCTCTCTGGAAAGATTCTCGCTAATGGATTTCCTGCTGCTCGGTCTCTGTCTATACTGGCTGCTGAGGAGGCCCTCGGGGGTGGTCTTGTGTCTGCTGGGGGCCTGCTTTCAGATGCTGCCCGCCGCCCCCAGCGGGTGCCCGCAGCTGTGCCGGTGCGAGGGGCGGCTGCTGTACTGCGAGGCGCTCAACCTCACCGAGGCGCCCCACAATCTGTCCGGCCTGCTGGGCTTGTCCCTGCGCTACAACAGCCTCTCGGAGCTGCGCGCCGGCCAGTTCACGGGGTTAATGCAGCTCACGTGGCTCTATCTGGATCACAATCACATCTGCTCCGTGCAGGGGGACGCCTTTCAGAAACTGCGCCGAGTTAAGGAACTCACACTGAGTTCCAACCAGATCACCCAGCTGGCCAACACCACCTTCCGGCCCATGCCCAACCTGCGCAGCGTGGACCTCTCCTACAACAAGCTGCAGGCGCTGGCGCCGGACCTCTTCCACGGGCTGCGGAAGCTCACCACGCTGCACATGCGGGCCAACGCCATCCAGTTCGTGCCCGTGCGTATCTTCCAGGACTGCCGCAGCCTCAAGTTTCTTGACATCGGATACAATCAGCTCAAGAGTCTGGCGCGCAACTCCTTCGCCGGCTTGTTCAAGCTCACCGAGCTGCACCTGGAGCACAATGACTTGGTCAAGGTGAACTTCGCCCACTTCCCGCGCCTCATCTCCCTGCACTCGCTGTGCCTGAGGAGGAACAAGGTAGCCATTGTGGTCAGCTCGCTGGACTGGGTTTGGAACCTGGAGAAAATGGACCTGTCGGGCAACGAGATCGAGTACATGGAGCCCCATGTGTTCGAGACCGTGCCGCACCTGCAGTCCCTGCAGCTGGACTCCAACCGCCTCACCTACATCGAGCCCCGGATCCTCAACTCCTGGAAGTCGCTGACGAGCATCACCCTAACTGGGAACCTATGGGACTGCGGGCGCAACGTGTGCGCCCTGGCCTCGTGGCTCAGCAACTTCCAGGGGCGCTACGATGGCAACTTGCAGTGCGCCAGCCCCGAGTACGCGCAGGGCGAGGACGTCCTGGATGCCGTGTACGCCTTCCACCTGTGCGAGGATGGGGCCGAGCCCACCAGCGACCATCTGCTCTCGACAGTGACCAACCGCAGTGACCTGGGGCCCCCCGCCAGCCCGGCCACAACGCTAGCTGACGGCAGGGAGGGGCAGCTCGACGGCACGCCGGAGCCGGCGACTGTGGCCCTCCCCAGCGGCGAGCACGCCGAGAACGCCGTGCAGATCCACAAGGTGGTCACAGGCACCATGGCCCTCATTTTCTCCTTCCTCATCGTGGTCCTGGTGCTCTATGTCTCCTGGAAGTGTTTCCCAGCTAGCCTCAGGCAGCTCAGACAGTGCTTTGTCACGCAGCGCAGGAAGCAAAAGCAGAAACAGACCATGCATCAGATGGCTGCCATGTCTGCCCAGGAATACTACGTTGATTACAAACCCAATCACATTGAGGGAGCCCTGGTGATCATCAACGAGTATGGCTCGTGTACCTGCCACCAGCAGCCCGCAAGGGAATGCGAGGTGTGAACATCCCAGTGGCTCTCAACCCGTGCGCTACCAAATACGCCTGGGCAGCCGGGGCGGGCCGGCGAGCGCCAGGCTGGGGTCTCCTTGTCTGTGCTCTGATATGCTCCTTGACTGAAACTGTAAGGGGATCGCTCCCAGAGACTTGACATTTTAGCTTTATTGTGTCTTAAAAACAAACAAACAAAAAGAAATAAAACACAACAAAAAACCCACCCCACAACCTTCAGGACACTCTATCTTAAATTTCATATGACAACTCCTTCCTCCCTTTGAAGATCTGTCCATATTCAGGAATCTGAGAGTGTAAAAAGGTACCAATCATTGATTTTTTTTTTTTGTAAACTAAAATGTTTAAAATAAAATAGCACTTACAGTTTTTACAGACTGGTGTAACCTAAATGAATTGTTACCTGTGTTAAAGAGAAGCAACAGTTAACATTTCCTTCCCTCTGTGTGTGTGTGTGTGTGTGTGTGTGTGTGTGTGTGTGTGTTGGGGGAGGGGTGGCCAGTGTCCAGAGGGGAGATCCAAAAATTAAGGAGCAAAGTATGCAGACTCCATCTGAAATTATAAAAAGGGCAAACAGAGCTCATCGGGTTGATTTACTTCACATGATTAAGGACTAAAAAAACAAGACACTTAATATTATTTTTAGGTGATACTGTGCAATCTAACCACTTTGAAAGCAAGTGAACTGAGGACTGAGCGTCAACGCTCAGCCTTTAAGGCAGAGATCATTGCAAATGGCTTTTACAAGGCAGTGCCAGACAGTTTGTCCTATTAACAAGAAACATATTTGCACTTAATATAACCATTTTTCAAATCAATTAAAAAAATCTCACCCCTGACATTCCCTGGTTCATAATTCTCCTCTGCCTTTGAGTCACCAGGCTTGTTAAGCCTCTGTACCCTTCTCACTACTCTTCCCTGAAAGAGAGCCCCCCAGCTGATGCTCTGTATGGTCTGGCTGAGGAGAAGGAGGCTGAATCCCAAGGTTTGGGGACAAAAGCTGTGCTTTCAGGAGTACATTGCTAAGACTGCAGCAAGCTTGAGCTCTCAGCAGTGACAGCACACTCCTAGTTACTACAGGGGACAGTCCGAAAAATCCTGCCTGGCGATGAATGCCTTCTGGGTAATGCCTTGTAGCAGGAGATTTTAGGGGGTTCGCTTGATGCAGAAGCAGTATGTGTGGGCTGGGGTGGTGGTGGAAGGGGGGGCCGTGGAGCAGATCATCATTTGATCCTGTGTTCCAATATTCCTGAGATGGGGTTCATTTGTTAACCCAGGGCAGAAAAGCTGCCTCCTGTCAGATTGCCTTTTGGTGTAATGCCTGCTCTCCCTGTGTTTTCCTTTTTGTGTGTATTGGGATCAATGATTGCCCCTTCCTACCCTTTGTAGGTTTTCAGGTCCATCATTGACATTTAGGTTGTTTACTGATCTACATTGGTGAGTAGTATCAGTTGGTGGGTGGGGAAGGAGGAAGTGTATGTGTTTTGGATGGGAGGGGTCTTTCACTCACTAACAATTTAAACAAATGTATGACTGAAATCAACTGTCATGGCTGGCTGATGGTGAACAATGAGCCAATGGTGTCCATGTCCAGAAGTCTTCTCAAAGTCAGGTGCTCATCCTCTGAATGACCCTACAGACTGGCTTCTTTCTGTGTTATTTCTCTTTTTGAAGAGAGAAGTCCAAATAGCAGGAAGAGGGATGGGGGTGATAAAACAACACGCCCCCATCTCCCAAAATGCAAATGCCCCCAGCCACCTACGGAAAGAGGCTCACTCAGCTGTTTGATATGCAGAAGGGTATCACCAGGAGATTTACTTAAGCTGAGGACTGGTAGTAGATTTCTACCTATGGAGAAACCCATATGCCTAATAATACTCCTTCTAAAAGGCCCTTTCAAGAGAAATATTTTTGCAAATAACTCTAAGATATTAAGCTTTGGAAGATAGTCTCTCTCTCTCTCTCTCTCTCTCTCTCTCTCTCTCTCTCTCTCTCTCNCACACACACACACACACACACACACCAGCTTAGGAAACTTCATCTTGCTTTGTTTATAATTAAAACATGACATTATGACACGTACCATGAATATAACACCCATTTAAACTGGTAATATTCTACAGGAGAGGTTTGAGAACGTTTGAGGAGGGGGTTTGGATTTAATCTAAGTATGATTGATCATTTGGGGGTGCTGTTTGAAATACTACATCACTCACTCTGAGGGCAGGGGTGGCAGGGACAAGGGGGATGCGTCTCACATCTAAAATTAAACCCTACTAAAGAAGCCTCCTCCAGAAGACCACATACATTGTTTGGGAAAAAAAAATCCCCAAATTGTGGCAATTGAAGGGAATCTCCTTAGATTCCATTGATTCAATCTCCTCGTAGGAAGGTTACTAGAATCCAGGACCAAAAACTGCTCTGGCTTGGTGCACTAAGGGTTGTGCTGGTGTGCTTACAGGGAAAGCTTCTAGAAGCAAAGCCTTCCTGGCAACAGCAGAACCACGGGTTCCCCCCTACCCACTAGAAATAGGGATACTGGAAACTACAACTCATCTCCTATCCCAAGGCTTCCCACCGCCCCACCCCCCCATTCTTCTTTTTTCAATGTAGTCGATGAGAAAATAATCATGCTTTGTTGTATGCTGCTGCTACCCCCACCCCCCAATATGACGAGACACCACACAGGTCGAAGATCTTAAGTCCAAGTAAGTCCATGTAAATCCAATGAAATATCTGTAAAGAGGAATCTGCTATCTGTGACCTGAACAAATGATGGCCAGCGCAAGCCGTGTTCTGACTTTGTGTGTGTATGTCTCTAGGTCTCTGCATTGTGTGTCTTTGCAGGCAAGCAAATACGTTTCTTCCACACGCAGAGGTGTTTGGCTCACATTATTTCATGCTTCTGTGACTCTTGGTTTGGGAAACGGCAGGGGGAGGGGGAAGCCCAGACTAGGGGAAAGCGGTAGCTTTAAATAAGGTTTTGTGATACTTGAAATCTTTTCTTCCTCAAATTAATTAATCTTGAAGCTTCAAGAAACTTGCTCT